GACACTTAAACTCAGTCACCTACAGTGTATTAAGAAAATCAACCTATAACTATAGTTCCTTCTCTTTTTATTAACTTACCTTGTCTTCATAAAAGCAAAATACTGGACAATCTGCTGTCTTACAGTGAAAACTGTTAGGGTCTGTTGCCTCAGCTATTCGAAGGCCTCGCTTAAAGAATGATTCCAACTCCTCATCATTCAATACCTAGATGTGTGCATTAAATGAATAAAGACAGCATACTATAGAGGCCCTTTTACTTTGCGTATTTCTCTCTCTGAAATGTATTCCTCACATTCTTCCTTATCATCAACAAAAGGACATTTGACTTGAGCCTCTTCTGAATATAAAATGGAACATTTTAAACAATCCCTAGAGATTCAAAACAAACATAACTCATGCTCTTACAGACACATAAAGCATAGAAATGCACTTATGGTTGTAGAATGAACTAGCATAAGGAGATCAATATGAAAATCAATGATAAACATTATTGCTAAGTGACAGGGTATCCCACAAGGCATGCTAAGTGAGCTAAACAGCATGCTTGATGAGCTGACAAGCACTACAATAACAAGAGTACATTAGTAACATATGGTAGCATTAGTCTCGTGTGGCCAGATTCTCCACCCCTTTTTGTCTTTTAGGTGGCAGGGGAGAGTCTGGTCATAGATACTTTAATACACATGGATGTGAAACATTACCGGAAGCTCCATACAAAGTATATGGAGAAACGTCACTTCCTGTTGTCTACATGCAATCCAACAAAAAAAATGGCAAGTAATAGGTGAGTTGTAATATTTTTCATTCAGTGTCTAAAGTGTAGTAGAACAGATAGTCGCCTGAATTTGTTCAAAAATAGGTTAATGCACAATATGAATTGATAATTTTACTTAATTGTCCCCTGTGTGTTGAGTTGTTCACCAAAAAATGGCAATTTTTCAACAATTAACTACCTTGAGCAAAATTTCTGGCCAGTGCACATAGGTATTCAAGGAACACAACATTAGGAGGCTAGTTTATGACTATGTACATGCACGAATCCAATCATTTTGAATGTACAATAGACAATGAAGGAGAATTTGTGTGTTATTGGCCATAAATGAGGCCCAAACTGTGGCCACTCTACTACTTAACATAGAGAACTTATTAGAGAAACTTTTTATCAGTTTGTTACACTGGTATAGTGGTGTGTGCAAATCACTTTACTTTTTTAATAGACCACTTTGAACAGCAGAAAATGCGCTAGAAATTTCACCAATATTGGAGGTTTCAACTATAGGTTCCAAGAGGAAGTATAGTCTGGCGTAGCCAGACTCCCCACCCCTTTTTGACTTTTGGACGGCGGTCCAAATGTCAAAAAGGGAGATGGGTCTGGCTACATGAGACTATAGGAAGTATACATGTATATGAAAGTATATTAAAGGACATGCTATTATCTATTGATGATAATTCAATTTTATTTTTATCTCTTATATTTTAATTTTAAAATCTGTCATGAAGTCAGTACCCTGGACTGTACACACATACTTCAAAATATCTGGTGAAGAAGAGGCTATGATTTCTGCTAGCTCATAAGCACAGAACTTGTACATTTATTTGACACTTATTTGCTGTATTAATTCTGAATCTTTAAAATTATAACATAAAATTATCACTACTTAGTGGCTATAGTTGTACTTGTATACAATGCATCTAGATCTGCCATAATAATAATTATACGTCACTTCCGGTCGGACCGCATAAAGCATCCGGTATAGGGTAGTTTCATATCCATGTGTATTAAAGTATCTATGCTAATATAAACCAGATGACGCTAAGTATATTCATAAAATTTTGAGTATATTCATCATGATACCGTAAATAAAGTAAAATTTTTCTACCGCCATTTTGGAGTCATAGTTTACTAAGAGTAAAATGGGAGAAAGCAATATCTTTGCTTCTATATCTTCTAGTGGCACTTATTAAAGCCCATGAGCCAACTCTAGACACTGGATGATGGTCAGTAAGCAGTAGCAATATTGCTGTCACAAATAAATACAGCAACTTTTGGAGAATAAGCTCTTTTCATGATCGCTCCATAGACAACCATTGGAACTAGGACTCCAAAATGGCGGCAGGAAATTTTATTTTATTTATGGTATCATGATGAATACCTAAAATTCTATAAATATACTTAGCGCCAAGGTGCCAACTGGTCTATAGTACAGGGACTTTGGCTCAATTTTGGAGAAAAATTTAAAAATTGTAAAATCCAATTTCGAATCAGCTCAAATTTTCTACACAACATAATTATTATAAAAACCTCATACCCTGTACTATAGTACAGGGTGTTTTGTCAAAATCCATTGAATCCAGCCTTGACAAACAATGCCATGAACTATACTAGCTGCTACTGCATGCAGTGCAAATAATGGTAGATGTACATGTAGTACAATAGAGGACTTACATGCAGACCATGTGTAAACAGTCTCTCAGTCTAATACCCTCTCCAGGATCAATGTCAATGTAACAAACAGGACACTCAAATTCTTCTTCATTAAGTACCACAGGTACAGTATCAGTGTTCAATAGGTCCCTATAGTTCTTCTCTGCTTGTTGTCTTTGCATCAACTTCTCATTCTCTAAAAACTGACATGTGTGCATGAATAATGTATATGTGTATACATACCGTATTTTACTGATTAAACGCCCGGGCATTTATTTCTTAGCAGTAAAAAAAATTTAATTGAAAAATAAAAAGATACTTCGAGCGGGACAGAATCCCCAACTCTGAGCAAGTCAGACCAGGCTCTAACTAATAAGCACTTCAGAGCTATCTAAACAGTTGGGCATTATTTTTGGTAGAAATAAGTGTATCTATAGCTAGAATATATTAATGACAGGCGTTTATTGGGACCAGTAAAATACGGTAACCTCTTAGTATACTGAAGTATGCAATAGTATACACAGCCAAAAGTTTTAATTTGAATCATGACTGATATCAATCAGGATCAGCCTGATACATTCCTGTATTATGGATTTTGGGCAGCCTGCAAAGCAATCAGTCTAGTATGATACAATCATGATGATCATCCATGATACAACCATGCTGGAGTACAACCCTGGCTCAAACAACATTGATGACAGTCAGGACTGTATCAAAATAGACATCAGGCTATTTTAAGGCTAGAATTAAGATGATACTTCTGGATGTGTGCTGAAATATAAGAAGTTGTTAGGTAGACACACACATAATCAGTTTGTGTATTGCATGTCTCACA